AATTATCTTTTAATCTTTCCCAGATTTGAAACGGGTACCTCAAGAAATGTTACCGCTGCGTTAACTTCCTCGTCCAAAATATAAATTCCACCCTTAAAGATGTTTCGTCTTTTTACTAATGATCAGAGGCCACGTAGCTACGTAAATGTAAAACACGTGGGGAAATAATCAGCTTTAGCCACGGCACTCGCGTTGAAGGAACGGCAAAGCGACTAGAAACTTCGTCCAAGAATTACGCAGGGCGTGTTATTCAAACCAGCCGATACAGTGACCGGAATGTAAAATGGAGAATGTCTCACTGCCTTCTTTAATTCCATTACGGCAGCTACACGCCATCGTATCTGAGTTTTGTTGCTGACGTAATTTTCAGTCGTAAATATGGTTCGAATCCGATTCTCAGCGATTTCAGGCGTATGGATTAAAATGGAATGCCACTTAATCCACACAAAAGACGACTGCATATGTACTTAATGCGTGGATCTGGCGGAGAGATCAAACAGCTGACGGATTTTTAGCCGTGGTTTAAAGGATTGTCCTCTGCAGTCACCGTACGTCACAACAACAAATCAAAATGATATTCACGAGGGAGTTCGGAGGAGGCTAAATTCCGGAAATGCTTGCTACTTCTCAGTTCAAAATATTTTGTCTTCCCGTCTGACTTATAAGAACCTGAAGATTAAAATATACAAAACAATAATTTTGCCTGTTGTTTCGTGTGGGTGCGAAACATGGTCTCTCACTCTTGAGGGAGGAACACAAGTTGCGAGTGTTTGAGGAGGATATCTGGGCCTCGAAGAGAAGATGTTAGAACCACGGGAGCCCAAGCAAATATTAAAATAGCTCTTAAATTTATTTCTTACGTTATATTTACTAAAGTCGATGAAAACGGTGATTGCAAAGTTTCCAACATTGTCAAGCGTACATAACTGTTCCCATAAACATGTTTTTTGTTTGTGGCGCTAGGGTACGTCTTCGGCGTCACTGAGTTGCGTTAACTACGCATTTGTATCGCCTTCGGCAGAAAGTACAGAGATGGTTGGTCGATGTCCAGATATTCCTCATCTCAAGGGCCACTCAGCCTCTCTCCTGCTTGAAACTGCGTTGAAATACGACACTGCTTTTAGGATACTGACACGGAAAGTAATTTAACGTGAGAGGAAAATATAGGTCAAGTCGGAAGACGCTGGGATCCGATATAAAACTTAATATTTAATGTTTTAACGTAGAAATATTCCTAAATAAGTTTTCGTGCTTCATTCCGTATACTGAAATCGCTATAGGAACGAATGTGACATGACAAAGTTACGCAGAAGGAAGGCTGCTTAATGTTTAAAGATGGGCTTATGTAACTCATATTACATTAATGTTCTACATGAATATTTAATTGAATTCATAATGAAAGTAAACAATTTCAGACTTTTTCTTAAAAAATGTTGCATTGTAGGTGGAATAAAATATTTCGTATTCCGCACTCTGTTCTTTTCAGAATATAAAATGTACTTAAATAAATATATCTTTATGTTAAAATATCGCTCTTACAGATATCTGCAAATGATATGAATATCTCATTATCGGTGTTGCTCTAACAACATGTTAACACTGCCCCTACTCCTTACATGTTTATTTATTTATTTATTTTCCTGTGATTGATTTAAGGGACGACATCAGTAACGCGTATTATATTGGATTAAGTGATAAGGAGTTTGAGGGATTTGAGTGAACGCGCGAGTTATCTGTCATGTCGTGTTTTTAAACTCGAATCTTCGCATTTGCCTTTAGAGACTGGAGGCGAGAAGCAAAACTATCGACTTTCGAAGTTGATACTTTAATATGCACACCAGTAAAGTCTGAGGCAGTGTGCTAACCATTGTCCGGGTGATGGCTTCGCCGCTTCTAAAAGTCACCTAACCTTTGACACGTCTTATTTGTCAGTTTAAACCATAAAATAAATTTATGCGTTCACCATTTTTCTCACGTCTGACTCACTCTTTTGAGGACTTTGCGCAGTGTCAATTGAAATGCACAGCTAAGTGTTTCGTATCAATTCTTCGTCATCATCCAGAAAGGGAAATGACATTTGTGCTCAGTTCCTGGTAACGTTAAGCTGTCATCGTTTTACTTAATTGCTGCCTCCATCATCAGGACGACGAGCCTTTCATTTCCCTCATGATGGAAGCAGCAAGTACCTCTGAAACGTCGGCAAACTTCTACCAGAGTACAACAACAACCCACAATACAGCCATCTTCAGACTCATATTTGAGACATTTGTTATACGCTGGAATTTACTGTATTAACTTTGAATGACGAGAAACTTCAGCCGCGATGTTTAATTACCGGCAGGAATTTGAACCGAGTACACTTCGAGTTTCGGGTCAGACGCGCAATTGTTTTGAAGGTTTAATTGTCCAATCCGAGTTCTTCGACTGCCGATGACGGCGCAGAGTGGAAACAGCCAGAGGTCCTCGAGTCCTACTGTTGATGGATTGGGTCGTCTGTCCTCGTGTCAAGGAGCCCACATGCCTCTGCATTTGATCTTATTAGAAGAGACGAACTTAAGCAGCTCATTAAAATGTCTGTCTGTGTGGGAAACAGAACGTTGCGAGACGAGTGCCCATCAACAGCGAGACTGTTCCGGGTATTAAACCACTTCTGTCGCGTTCGATGAAGGACACGACTGGACCATGCTCTGAAAACAGGAGGCTGGAGCTCCATGATGTATTCCCTCTACCACATATATTTTGTTACATTTAAATCAAGGCTGATGAGATGGGCGAGGCATGTAACACGCATGAAAGAGGTCAGAAACTGTCGTACAGAAGACCTGATTGCGATGGATTACTTGAAAGTCCTTTTTAATTATTCTCTAATTTTCATATAATTTACATTATCAGGACACTCGAAACCAGCAAATAAGATTTCTCATTAACGAATAGCTGTAGGTATGATTAAAAGGCCATGTCAGGTAATTTGGTAAACTACCTGGCTGTAAGTTGGAAGTCCAGTGTTCTGTGCTCCTTAACTATTGCCACCAGGTCTGGGCCGACTTTGGGGTCCACAGTAGCTCGGTGGACTCATCTCTTAAGGGATGTAGTGGGATAAATAGGCTTTCTGTCCTTTGAAGATGCATTTTAATATTATTATTGCCCGTTCCAGGTTCTGTATTCCATTAATGGCGTGTATTTCTCTTTATCATTGACACACATTTCGACCTCACAGTCCGTCGCTGACATCAACACTTGTGTCGTACGCATCCTGGAACCTTTTAGTTGCAGCGAAGGACAAACACAGACTCACTTTAATTACCACACGCTTTAGCCAAACATTTAGTTACGGATTGCCTACAGTGAATCGTTGTCATGGCGACACGCGACACAGAGCCCCTTGTGCTCGGCCGGCAACAAGTCACACACGTGCACTTCCTGTTTGTTTCCCCGACCCCACACCTGACGTTTTGTTTGCACATCCTGAACAAAGACAGTTGTTATAATAAGTATTTCCTCCTCTTGTGATAACGTTTCCTGTTCAAAGACTCGATTACAGTCTTGGTTATCTGGATATAAATGTTCCGTCCTTCCGGTAGCCTGACGCCGGTCGGTAAAGGCTCTGTGCCGACCTCTTAACCCCTCAGTTAAGTCACTCTCTCAACATTGAGTTCTCATCTCCAAAGCAGCCAACCAAAATGCTAACTAAGGACATTCCCACTCACGTGCCTCATCGAGTAGTCACTGAGCAATGACTAAGCAGAGACGTGTCTATGAAGCAACTAAGGCAGTGGTAAGGAAGCACTGTACTTTTCGTACCTGAGTAAAAGCTAGTGATGGGCAAAAGTTTGATTGAATCTCTGTAGCTATTAAGAAAACTAATAATGGCGTTGAAGGGCTAGAGATTTTCAGACATTGCTGACAACCCTTTCTTTCGACGACCATCCTGAAGATAATTTCAGAAAGGGGCTCCGTAAATTTTTACAGAAATGGAAACACCGATTCTCTAAGTTAATTGCTCAAAATCGTTCGGTACTGACTGTTCATTATTCCAGGAAATAGGTTTTCCTTATTGACCCTTGACCGACACATCTACCCCGCCGTGATGACCATATTCATTCAAGTAAACTTATTATACATCACTTTTTGCAATCGCAATGCACCCTCCAGCTGTCTTCTGGGTATTGTGTAGTCTTTTAGAAGTTTACCGACGTTTCAGAGGTCCTTGCTGACCCATCATCGTCCTGAAGACAAACCAAACATTGCGCAACGTATCACATACGTACATAAAACATCATACGGTGCTGACGACTTTCCCCTGAGCAGTAGATTATGAGTGCTTCAAGTGTTGGTCCACGGAGACCCTAGGACTCGACATGATTTCCTACAGACGCAGATCGACTGAACTAAAATATCCACCAGCTGAAATATACGTGTTCACGCAGATACCAATGTGAACAGAGAACTTGTGATACAAACTTTTCAATTTTCAGTAAATTCACTTTACTAAAATACTTTATTTTGAATGTATGTAAAGCAATTTTAATTATTTTAAGTATTGTAATGTAATTTTAATACCGATACAATATTCACCTAAATACGCCTAAAGATCGTTCATTTAAGACTGAAACTTTTAGTTGAGGAAGTAATTGAATTTTTAATACAAAATAAAACTGTTATGTGGACATATTTTTTGTGTTATATTGATTGAATTATCACACAGCAGGATCATTTAATAAGTAAACTTAAGATTTCCCGAGTCTTTAATCAGCTTTCAATTTCCTCTGAATGTAATTGTGGCTTGTTACAGACGTTCTTAAAAATTGTAAATATATAAAATGTCTTGAACTAATTGGTTATGTGGCGCACACACGTTTCGACTGTTCGTTTTGTCCATAGATAAGCAAAGAAAACAAAAACAAAAGATTGCTTTGACTTGGTTGAGGCAAAGTGGCTAACACAATAGGCCAACCTGTAAGAACCCGGTGAATGGAACACGTTGTGTGTTTGTGTTTCAGGCCGATGGAGAAACACGTGCAGAGGCGGTTAACTGAGCGGCGTAGCTGAGCGAGCGATCCGTTCTGTCAGTTCACCCTTTCACGATGCGCAGACACGTGGTAACTGCAGCCGTCATCCTCACGGTGAGTACAATTACCACATTAGTTGCCACAAGTCACGGCTTAGGTGCCAACTCGTTTGCCTGGAATTTTCCAGAGACACGCACAAACGCAGTGTGACTTCCACTGTCAGTAGCGTATTTATGCGGTATTAATGACAAATACTGGACGTTCTGTAGGTCCGGGTAAAAACGGTATAAGTGATTTGCTTACGTTTTTGAAATATCCGAAGTTATATTTTTTCGTAGTGACAGGTTGACGCAGGATTTAAAGCGACTGCGCACTAGAGACTTCTTGTACTTCGTTCAGAGTCGCAAATGAGTGAACGTTAAGCACATGGAGTTTGGCCTCCTTGCCAATCAGCAAGCCTTACTGATTGATCTTTAAGCGATGTTGTAAAATAAGACGTCTAGAGGAAACGACGCACTTTTAAGACCGCGTGCAGTCATCAGGCATTAGATGACAGCTGATGCAGGGCTTTGGTGGAATTTCCCACGAAGCATGAACAGGGGTGTAGTCTGTCGAGGATTTGTGACAGTCTGGACTAAGCCCTGTTAGGTCTTTGAAAAGTACGCACGGCGAAGCCTCACATCAAAGACAATGCATCTAGTACGTTCGTCTAGGAATTCAGGAAAAGAGCGTAGGAAAACTGTGAAAGGCAGAGAAAGGACGAAACTCTTTGCCCTAGTAACAAAATTTCAATTTATAAAATTATTTTGTTTCTTTGCGAGGTGAAGGTTGCTGTCTTGTACTGTGGTCTGGTCTGTAGTCTTGCAGTCAATTACAAACTGGGCATGTTTCAGGGTTGATCGCTACTGCCATCATCAGAGCTTTATTTGAGCAGTTAACACCCCTGAAACGTCGGTCAGTTTGTAACAAGGTACCTAGAAGAAGTCCATGAGAAACTTAAATCCCATCATTGTGCATTATTTGTTGTTTAATGATGTATTTAAATGTATAAAATTATCATTACACAACTAGCAAAACAGATATATAATACGAAAATGAATTTAACGTAACCTAAAGCCGTGAAATGGAGGTTCCTTGAGGCTCGATTTAAGGTAACAACGTAGAGTAGTGCTTTGCGGGTGCTGGAATGTACTGTACAATACAGATTTCCCCCATATCAATGTTGAGTGTCGGACGATTAGAGTTGGACGACGTAATTTGCTGAGGTCGAGGGCTGACGCAGACCCAACAGATATGATTTTTGTGATTCGTATCCTTGTGTATCCAGATGATGATGTATTCCTAAAGTTTGTCGAAAATAATTAATAGATAAATTTATAGACAATTTTGCTGGACGTTCACACACATGTATTGTAACACAGATGCAAAGTTTTATTATCTGCTATTAGTTGATGCTGAATTACGGCTTCACACTTGTTTATTCAAACATTAATGCGCATGAGAATTGTTCAGTCAACCGTTGGTTGTTTTAATGCAAAACCAGAAACAATGTGCGGGAAAGTCTTGCATTGTGAAGCCCCCATGATCCCGTTCACAATGGATTTCTGATTCACCTGTTGTTGCATCTATGATGCAGATAAATCTGCTTCTCAGTTGCAGTTTGTTGGGTAGTGGCGAGATTGCATGATTTTCCTCGGTTTGTTCCGTGTCGAATCATTCCTCAAGCAATTTCTGATCTTGACCCGACTTTGCCGAACGTTGAAACTTTGTATTTCTTACTGCATTGGGGCGAGTGACCGTCTTCAGGTTCCTGTCGATACGCTCGTCTCTTGACACTTGGAGACAGCCTCTCAAAATAACTGAGAAACCAACCGGGGTCCGAACCGGATACTCGCCAAACAGAGCTCTATATTTTTACTGCCACAGCGCCATGTTTGGTGCCTAATTTTTTGATAAAATCGATTTTGACGTGTTTATTTACGACGCCGTGATTTGTTAAATTTTTGGTTTCATTTCCCTGCTCATTCGTGCTCTCTTGTAAATTTCCAGCAAGCTCGGACGTCTCACGTCTTCCTCGGACGCACGGAAAGTGGCCATCTTTTTTCAAAATATGAAGCCGCGTAATCTCAGAAGCCCTTCTACAGAACGTTTCCTTTGATGACGTAACTGTTACGTGATGCAGATCCTGGAGTAATTCCCAATAAATTATTATAATACGTAGTAATTATTTTTACGAGTCTGAAGGTAGTCATTCATATCGTAAAATTTTCGCAACATCGCCACGTGTACAACGAAGAAAATCTTTCATACAGAATCGTGGGTATAAATTAAGAGTCCCGATGATCCAACCTACGGTTATCCGACATATCGGAAGGTTCCATTGATTTTTTAATTAGTGCGTCAAATGAGAAGGGAAGAAAAGATTGAAGCCTCACGATGGCTAGAAAACACTTGACTGTGGAAGCAGGGATCAGTCAAGACGGACAACAGCTGACTGATAACGACGTACTGGATCTTGTGATTCGCGCTGGCGACAACGAATTGGACGGATATGACGAAGGGGCAGAGGAAGTTGATGGAATGAGTCACACCGAGAGGCTGAATTCTATGGACATCTTGCTCACTCACTTTGCCCAATAAACAGAAACAAATATCCGCTTACAATTTAAAGAAATCTCATTTACAAATTTTGCGTAATGTTAAACATTCTTTTTGCTCGCGAGATTTTTTTTAAATTCCATACCGAATTTCATTGACTTGGTAATTTAATATTATCACAAATTTAGTTATGAATTAAATTTTTTCATCAGTTGTTCGTGTTATCCGACATTTACGATCGATTATTCCGCCGTCCTCCTGTCCCGTTTTTCGTCGGATAATCGGGACTCTACTGTACCAACGATACAAATCCATGCAAAAGTCCACGTGCCTTATGCAAGGCCCACAATTATTCCAGGTATTTGTAAGGCTAAATATGAATTTTAGCCGCCGCCATGTTGTTATTTCATATTCCACTGAAGTACAAAACTCAAAGGAAATTTATATTTAAACAGAATTCCACACGAGCACAATTTTCATATAAATTTATATAACTGAACATGGTCGAAAGGGAATCGACTTGTTGTGGCATAATATTCGTACTAAATTTATTGAAAATCCATTTACTTCTTTAAAACATTCTTTTCGGGAGACGTGGATATTATGCGACTTGCAGACCTCTTCGAGGGTTTAATAAGCTTCCTCGCGTTTATGTCCCGTGAAACGCAATGAGTATTCACACTACGGAACACATCCGCTCCCCCCCCCCCCGCCCCCCCCCCCCCCACCCCCAGTCTTAGCATCAGAACATTTCCATTTAAGAGGTCGCGCTCAAGTTAACGACCAAATAGTATTTTGTTATTCCGCTTGTATGTTTAAGATGATCGTAATTTACTAAACCAAAAATTTATCGTTTCTATCTTATTTGTATTTAAATGAAAATGATAATCAAGGAATATTAAACTAAAATATGCTTAAATAAAACCTAACCTAACTTCCATGTTTGTATTCATTTATCTGATGCATGTAATATTATTAAAGGTCTTTATTTTTTAAATTAGCCTTAGGATACGATTTTAGGAAGGTCTAGGGGAAAAAGGATGGTTTGGGACTCAGAGGGTCTTTGTTGACGACGTGAATTGTTTGGATGGAAACCGTGTAATGCCATAAACAAAAAACAGATTTCTGGCTTATGTAAATGTCTCGCCACCAGAACAGAAGAACATCGCTATCTAAAGCAGTTGTCTGATAATCCCATCGACGTGTTGAAAAATTTAAATTTCGATAAAGACGGTACGACGTTTAAATTACATTCACGAAAATATTAAAAGTAGATTAATTTTGAAGAATGCTTGCTACCGTGTAGTTTAGAGACTGCCTTCCGCTCTGACCGGTTAGAACACACAAAAGAATAATTTTACTTGTGGTTGTCACACTTCATCTTTACCACGCAGATTGAGGGCGTTTACCGGATACTCAAAGAGTGACCGAATAAAAGCAAGTAATATGGATGGATCATAAATCAGACTAGAAATCATGAAAAGGTTTTGTCGCAAATCCTGAAAGGAGACCACTGGGAAGCCGTTGATCGGAGTACAGAATTAAAAGCTCTTAAGCCCACAGCGTATGAGTGATTTGAGTGGATTCAAGTGGCTCAGAATGTGGACCGGCATCGGGCTTCTGTAACACAGTAATGAGTCTTCGGAACCCTTAATTCCGTGACTGCACAACGGCTGTCAGGTTCCGAAGGACTCGTTTATTTCAACACGCGCCGTTTTGACTAGTCTTAACGGAGTCGTTATCCATAACGAGCATCTGACCCGGGCCGCATCAAATCTGAGTTTCATGAAATGTCAAGTTTTAGTGTGTGGAGCTTGTAGCTTTTTCTCCGTCGTAGTAGTTGCGCCTGCGAGTTTGATGACACACATCACGCATCCTCGGTCGTCGTGCGCTTTTACAAATTTCTTTGCGACTTTCCAGGACAGTACACGTAGTTTAACCTTGTTCATAGTAATTTTGTGTGGTATCTGAAGTATGCCTACATACATGCTGCATAATTGAATATAAACCCAAGTTCTAAACGCTGACTAACATAAAATCATATGTGATAATCTCAGTTTGTAAGGTAGAATGATATCAAATGATTTAAAACAATTATTTTGCGTCACTCAACCATTCTAAGTAATCAAATCGATGTTATCAAATACTTTGTCGAGTCAGACGATCGTAATGTGTCCCTGTGATTTTATCGAGAGGTTAAAAAGATTATGCTATGATGACGTATCGCACCTCTCACCAAAGGTAGAGTGGCCACTACACGTTGACGTCGTAAGCAGTTTCGTGAACGGTGCGAGTGCATCATAGGCGTACTTCAGATCGGGAAATCACCGAATCAGGGACTTGACAGCTCTAAATACTTTATCGAGTCCTTGTGCTTGTCAAGTGCGAAGAGGAGAGGCTCTGGAGAGTTGCAGCTTCTGAGAGGGGACTTCAGTACGTCCCAGGCCACGTCAGGAAAGTAGACCACCTGGCACCAGCCGGATCCACGCCCGTCAGTGAGGAACAAAGTGGACGGT